GCCCCCCCCCCCCCGGCAAACAAAAAAAAAAAAGGGGGGGGGGGGGGGGGGGCCTCTTTTTTTCGGTTTTTTAAGGGGGGGGGGGGGGGGGGGGGGGGGGGGGGAGTAAGGGAATATTACCCCCGATAAAATGGCCGCGCAGAGCACAGCCCAAAAAACACGTAGCAAGGAAACGACATTCGGTAACTTCAACATCACATTTAGCAACGCCCAATAACGGAATCACACCATATTTTCCGCACGTACTGGCCCTTCGGCCTGTGGCGCCGTACAATCCTGCGTTTTCCTGCGCATCGCCCGAGTCGTACAGCAGTATTTTCAGCTCTCGTCTACAACTATTTTGATGGTGTACGTGCAAACATGTCCCGTGAAACCAATCCAAGCCACCAATCGAAAAAAAACAGCACATTCTCTTGTCTTGCTTGGTCGCTTTCGTGCGCAAGAAACTCATCGCAGCAACAGCAACACGTACAAAACTGAAGCGGTTAGCAGCGAGCAGCTGCAGCAGCAACAACAGCAGCAGCAGCAGCAGCAGCAGAATGCACAGCGAGCCCAAAAGAAGAACGGCACTACCGTCGAGAACCAAGTCGAAAAGCGACAAAAAAACTACACACAAAAAAAACGACCCAAAATAAAAAACGCCGGTGCTGTAAGCAGGCAGCAGGCAGTGTACTCGTCTCCGCTACTGACGAGCAGCTGATGGCTGCTCCCTGCCCTGTCCTGCATGTACCACATGCTGTTCGCGAGTTCTATTGAACACAAGGGGAGTGAACCAGCAGCAGCAGCTAAGGCGGCACATTTGTTCGGGTGCGAAGCCTAGGGACGACAGACAAATTCTTTCAACAGTCCACTGCTGTACGCACGGAGGCCGCAGAAAAGAGAGAACAAAAATGTTCGCGACTGTCTCGCAACCAGAAAAAGTCGGGAGCACCGTTAGCTCTGCGACGTTAAGAGTTTCTTCACATCCATCCAAGGGCGTGCATGCTTCGAAGCAATTCATTCCTCTTCCGCCGTTACTGCTGTTGCTGCTAAATCGCTGCTCCGGCACCAAAACGACCCCCGACCCCACCAACGACGACAAGCAAGAAAAAAATAAACGAGTCGAATCGACGGCGGACCAGCCCACTACGTTCACGTGGCCTAGAGTGCCGAACATGACGAGTACGAGACGGCAGGGGGCTGGCTTCTTGCACCACAGACTTGTCATAGTCATAGTCATCCATTCTGGTGGATATTCCCTTCCTCCTCCTCCTTCCTCCTCCCCCCCCAACTCCTCCTCCTCCGCAGCCTATTCTCCTCCTGCTGACGCCCACGACAGAAGCCGCGGCAAGGACACCGGCCGATCGACGACGTCCCCTCCGCCTCCGCTGCCGCCGCCGCCGCCACCACCGTTCCCCATGCTGCCCGCGAGGTTTGCAATCGCGCTAGCCCTCACCGCCTGCCGGTCCTGCCTCTCCCCCGCCGGTAAGGAGTGGTGATGGTGCTTCAGGCGCTGCATGGACAGGATGCACGCCTGTTTGTATTTCGCGGGAGGGGGGAGGGGGGGGGGGGGGGGGGGG